GACCTAAAGGTACCGGGTCCGTGGCCGGTGGCTGGTGCCTGCGGGACCTCGGTCCCCTACTAAATAAATAACAATGTCAGAGTTTCAAGTAATGTCCTTGCTGCCGCGCTCTGCCCAGTTTCTTCCTCTCCCGATGACTCCTCGCGTGCTTGGCCACGGTGCTCTCCGGAGCGGTCGGCAGCGGCCTAACTGGGGTCCTGCCATCGGGGTGCTCAGGAAGGAAGGGTGCGTGTCCTTGGGGGATGGGCTGGGGTGACACTGCCTCCCACCGGCAACATGACCAACGTCTGTGTTGGATCCAGGGAAGATTCCCAGGGGCAGAGAGGAAGAGCACGGCTCGGCTGCCCTCCGGGGTAGCTTGGGCCTTCCAGTTTTCCACGGGGGTCACTTTGCTCTGTTCCTAGTGGCCCTGGCACGTTTTACAGCACATCTGTCGGAAGTAGGTCCGGCTGCAGAACTTGAACTTCAGGACGAGTGGGCAGTAGGCCACCTTGTTCACATCCTTGCACTCTGCGTGGGCAAAATAGGAAAATGGGGTCAGAGCCCTGCTGGGGTGCAGAGCCACTTGGAGCGCCCCGGGTGCCTCGGCAAAGTTTGCTCCCTGGTGCTCCGCGTTTTCCCCTCCCCAGCTCCTCACCTTCGGGGTTGTCCGTGGGTCCGGATTCACACTTGGTCTCGCACTGCTGCATGCCGGGCGGCTGCAGGGTCTCCACGCAGTCGCTGGACGGCTGCCCGGTGTGGGCCAGGCACTGGACGGATCGTCTTTGCTGGCCGAGGCCGCAGTGTGCGGAGCACTGCCGGGGAAGAGCACAGCACGGAGCTGCAGCAGCTGCTAACCACAACCCATGGGGAGCAGGGCCCGGGGATGGGAAAGCTGCTCCGTGTGCTGTGGCCCCACGGGAGCACCGTGCGCAGCTCCGAGGGTCAGGGTGCGCAGCCGGCTGGGACAGTGCCACTCGCACAGCAGAGCTGACACGAGCAGCGCCCGCTCAAGCGGCGCCACACACAAGTGCAATGGCTGCAAGGCCAGGCCGGGGTGGCCAAGCTCTTGGTGACCACCAGGTGTCCTTAGAGCTGCACATAGACACTGTGCGCATGGGCTGTGACCAGCCACCTCCTGCTCTACCTTCCATGTCCCCACCATCCTCCTCCAACCTGCTGTCCTGAGATGGCTCCCCTGCCCCACTGGCCTCCATCCATCCCTGCTCGCAGGTTGTAGGGTCTCCGGTCTGTGTCAGAGAGGGTGAGACCCCATCCAGACACATCCTCCTGGCAGGACACCCCTCCTTGCCAGCTATCAGAGAGGTTTGAAGACCCAGATCTAAGGGAACTGGTCCAGAAAGAGCATGGGGATGTCAAGGAGGCTTATAAAGAGGAAATAAAGACCTAAATACCATGTGGAGAAGACACCTGGCCCTTTAACCACTGTGGATCTTATCAGCCACACTCAGAAGCTCTTTTTTTGCCCCTTTTTCGCCTTTGCATATGCAGAGCAGAGGGTGCCCGGCAGCATGGAGCTGGCTGGAGAGCTCAGCTTCTCCTGGGAACATGGCAGGAGCGGTGAGGTATTGCCAGCAGGGTATTATCAGATATTTATGGCATCACGCTGCAAATGCCCGTGTTTGGGCATCCCCCCAGCAGGCTTGGAGCTGCCACGCCAGGGAGATGTAAGGACAGCCCTGGGTCATGGACATGGTGATGACCACATTGCCAAGGTCCAGGAGCTCACAGGTGAAAGGCTCAGGGGCACAAGGTTGGATTTCAGGGGTGGGAGCTATTCCTTCCATAATCCCACACAAGGAAGGGACAGTACCTCTCCCCACTCGCCGGTCACCCAGCGCGGGGGTGGGCAGCGCCGCAGGTTGCACCTCATGCTGGTCGGGGGCTTGGAGCCTTCAGGGCACTGGGAGGTGGGCAGCGTTGTGCTGTGGTCACCGCTCTTGCAGAGCACGATGCGGTGGCGGAAACCTGGCCCGCAGCTCGGGGTGCACTGCAAAGACAGGAGACGCTCGGTCAGGATGTGCTGTGAAGAGCAGACAGACGTGACGCGCTCTCCCCATCACTGGTCCCATCTAGCCCATCTCCTTAGCCACAAGCAGGTAACGGCCCAAGTTATGCTCTCCACAGGCATCACCCATCCCCAGCAATCTTTGCTCCTGAGGAAGTCACGCAAGATGGCATCAGAGAGCCAAGGACAGAGATGAGTGCTCACCTCTGACCAGTCCAGGGCGACCCATTCCGGCGGGCACGTCTGGTTGTTGCAAGGTTCAAGCATCTTGGGCCGTGGCTGGGGGCAGGAGACGTCGTCCAAGGTCTTCTCCTCGGTGGTAGAGATCTTACGTTTGCAAAAGACACTCCGTGTGCGGACACCCTCGTTGCAGGTTCGGCTGCATTCAGACCAGTTCCCAATCACCCAGCTGGAGACATGGAGAACATCAGAATTCACAATGTGCAAGGTGATCCGTGGTTGCATCTGTGGGCATGCAGCCCTATTGCTGACCTGGCCACA